AAGTGTGAAAAGTGTACCTCGCGAAGGATCGGGTGACAAGCGTCACCCAGCTGTGGTGACGATCATCACCATCTCTGATACTCCAGAATCGACATGTTGGATGTGTTAATGCAATGCCATCATGTGTACTCCGAAGTCAGATTGTTAGAGCACTCATAACACACATCAAAAACATCCAACCAAAGCATAACCCATGGTTCAAACAAGTTCACAAGACATCATCCAAGCGAACTGAACAAACTAACTCTCTCTTTTTTTCGATTTTTCTCATGTTTTTGGGATTTTTTTAGCTATGTAATAGAAACCTAAACTAAGTATATGAAAAAGAAAACTTACCAGTGGGTTGCCTCCCACTAAGCACTTGTTTAAAGTCATTAGCTCGACTTTGAATGCTGCTCAGATAGCTGGTGGAGCAGAAGGTGGCATTGAATGCCTTGGAGAAGAATGTCTCCTCATTCATCGTGGTTTATAAGCAATAGGTGCATGAACTCTTCCAAGAAAGTGAGGAACATCAGCAGGGTGGGTCATGACTGTGGGTGGTACACTTCATTTTCCTGCACAATCATCAAAAGAAACACCAAGGATTCTTTGCTTAGTTGATGGTTTCTGGGTTGTGGAATGTTCAATTTTTGGTTTGGCAACATAAGATAGACTTGTAGCTGAAAGATCATGTCGCTCCTTTGTGTCCAGGTTGGTGACGAGTGTCACCGAGTTTCTGACAGTCGTCACTGACCCTGCAGGTCGGGTTTCTGCGGTTTTTCTGCAATCCAGCTCTGCAAGTCTTGCCTCCATCAGAAACTCGTCCTCCTCCAGCAACTTGGCATTCATTGGACCCTCTTTTGCAAGCCTAGTTTTGAAGATATCATTCTCACTCCAATCCTCAAACCCAACAGCTTTTGCCAAAGTTTCTGATATTGCCTCTTGAACAGACAACTTCTTCACTTGCCTTCTATTATCTGATTCATTGACATACCCAGCAGTAATGTCTTCTGAATGCTCCATGACAGGCTCTTCGTCTCTGAAAGTCCTTACAGAAAAGGTCTGACCATCAATGGTAGAACTCCCTCTTAACTTGTCCATGTCAAAGTTCATGACAACATCACCCAAATCAAGCTCCATGTTCCCATTTTCCACATCAACGATAGTGCCAGTAGTAGCCAAGAATGATCTTCCCAGGATAAGAGGATCTTTAGGTTCTTCAGCATATTTCCGAACCACAAAATCTGTAGGAATTATGCAGCCTTCAATGTTAACAAGAACATCTTCTAAGATACCTTCTGGAGTTCTTATGGATCGATCTGCTAGGATGAGAGAGATCCCAGCTGGCTTAAAAATCAGTCATTCTAAGTCTAGCAGCAACATAGGAGGGCATCAAGTTGATACTTGACCCTAGATCACAAAGAGAGTGAGGAAAACGTCCTAATTGAGCAATCAAGCACAAAGGTCCCTGGATCAGAAAGCTTCTCTGGAATTCTGTTTTGAATGATGACACTGACTTGTTCAGAAACAGTCACCTTCTTCTTCTTCTTTGGAATTGTGCCTAACAGAATTGCACTGATGTCTCTGGTAATCAATGCTCATTCCTCAGGACTTACACCATTCACAACCATCCCCTTAACATACCTTCTTAATGCTGGTGAAAGCTTGACTCCATCAACAAGAGAAAAATCTCAAGCATCAACTTCTCTATCATAGCCTTGCATCTGGCTTCTTCTATCTCCTGTTTAGTCTTCCTAGGATGCTTAGGGAATGATATTTCGGGTTTATAGACTCATTCCTGACCATTATCTGCAGTTATAGGCGAAGCAGCTTCTATGGGGTGGGTGACGACGGTCACCAGGGTGGTGACGCTCGTCACTCGTTTTGGACAAATCGGGTGTTTCAGCTCTAAGTGGGTGACGAGCGTTACCCACCTGGTGTCGCTCATCACCAGTTTGTGAAGAAAAAGTGTCGAGCTCTTGCAACTTGGGTGACGAGCGACACCCACCTTGGTGACGCTCGTCACTGATCTCTGAGACTGTAAAATTTTCATCTTCAAGCTCCATCTGCTGCACGATTTGCTCTGCACTCAGCCTCTTTTCCTGCACTGTTTTAAGCTCCTTTTCACTCCTAACTGTGATGGCATTAACCTGGTGCTTGGGATTTATATCAGTCCTTCCAGGAAGGAATCACTCTTGCCTTAGAACAGCTCATGTAGTTTGAGCAACCTGAACATCTAGCTTTTTCATATGAGAGTTCAGACTCTTAATTTTTCCATTCAGGTCTTGATACAGCGAATCCATCTTGTCATTGAAGTCCACTGTCATCTTCTGCTGTCCTTCAAGTATCTGCTCCAGCATAGCTTCCATCTTATTGTCTTGTGGAGGTGCAGATTGGTGGGAAGAAGAACCATAATTCATGCTGTTTTGGTAAGATTTCTCAACTTCAGTCTTCTGGAACTGTGGTATTGGAGTATAACCAGTTGCATTCTGGTTTCCTGTGAAGGTGCTCTTCTGATTATTGCCATTAGATCCCCTGTTCCACTGCTGATTCCGAAATCTTTGGTTCTGAAAATCCCCATTGATGAAACTAACATCCTTTTGCTCAAATTCTTCAGAATTTTCGAAAGTCTCCACCTCTGCAGCAAATTGGACTGATTTATTTCCCACCAAAGGGCTGTGCATACTGTCCAGCTTAGCCTTAACTTCAGCAATCTGATTCTCATCATCCAAACCAGCTTGTTTCGTCCTCTGAAAATCTGCATTCTTGGTGCTCTGACGAGCGTCACCCAAGCCAAAATCTTCCTTCCGAGTTGCACACTTTGTGGCTTCATCTTATAATGCTCCAAAAAGCTTCAATATCTCCAATTATACTCCAGACATGATGTAATCTGCAAAGACTCTACTAGGACTCTAGAAAAAGACCAAAAAGACTTAATAAAAAGACTTATATCATGGTTGGAAACCATAAAAACCATGATATATCAAAATACTTCTCTAAATCAAATGTATGTGTACGTCAAAGTTGAATAATTGGATATGTGTCATTATTATTATTTTACTTAAAGAAGATTTAAATTTTTATAAATATAATAATAAACTACAAATTATATTTCAAATTCTATTATAGAAAAGAAAATTTATATAAATCTACTATAGTTTTAATAATTTAAAATATAGTTTCTAAAAAAAAATTAAACAAAACTATTAGTACTGATTCACGCATAGCGCGAATTATAAATCTAGTAAGAACTGTAATAAATGAAGCCTATAAAGGGAAAATTAGAAATAAAAGATGTTTTTTGTATTCTCTTATCCATTAACACATTTTTAATGTTAAATTGTGCCTAAATTACCCCAAAATTATATATTCTAATATTTAATTTATTTTAAAATTTTGTTTTAAAGAAATAACATTTATTTAAGGAAACCTATTATTCTAAAAACCTAATAAAAAAAATACTTACAAAATGTTTTTGACATGTTCTACAAAATTCAGAAGGTTTCTTCTGTGAATTCTCTATGATCTGTAAGTTTTAGAACATATTTTCTGCGGGTTTCGGTATTAGGAACATGATATTCTTTAACTTTTTTATGTTATCTTTATAATATATTCTATATATCTATGATTCTTTTAGATTTCTACGAAAATCAATGGTATAAACTAAAATGTGTTAAATAGATTTAACATAAATCTAGTGAGTTAATTGAGTTTGTTGTTTGCTTTATAACAAACTGATCTGGGCAAATTATAATCAGAGGAATTTATCAAAAACAAAAACAACGGAAATTGATGTGATGTGTGTGTATGTACATCATTTGGCAACAACGAATGAATAATTATTATTTATCAAGACAAACATGTTTATTATTTATTTTGGATTTAAAAAAAATAATAAGTTATGATTTTAAGGTTTTTAGTTAAATGATGTGTTAATTTTTTTAGTAATTATATTAGAAATAAAATTAATAAATTAGAAAGTATAATCAGATTTAGAATACTATAAAGTACAAAATCACGAAAGATAGTTTAGAAAGTGTAGATAGACAAAATAGTATAAAAAACATCATTTATTTCTAATTTTCCTTATAAATAATCTTATTTTTATTAATCGAACATCAAAGATCTATGAATAAATCCCTTTTAAATCCAACTAGATAACTATTTTCTTATGGAAATAAAAAGTATCATTAGATTCATGATAAGTGCAGTTATGTTAAAGTATAACGAGGGTTTAGAAAATTTCTAAAAAAAAAATTATGAATGAACAAATATTTTCCTTTAATATTTTAAAAGGAAAGAATTAAGAACAAAAGTTGTAAATTTTTGGTAGCTGTGTATCTCTAATAGAAATAGCTGTGTAAATTTTTGGTAGCTGTGATTCTCTATGGTGGCACACGTCAATGACTCAATGTCAATAGAAAATTTTCGACAAGTCATGTTTGCAAAGGTCTTGGTGATAAATAAAAAGATGACTGAGGTAAATAAACTAATATTTACGAACGATTTTGGAAAAAAAAAACGGAGCATAATTAAGTTAGGAGGTGGTGATTGGTGAAAGAAAAGCTGAAAGCATTGTACTAAAAAACGGAGCATAATTAAGTTAGGAGGTGGTGATTGGTGAAAGAAAAGCTGAAAGCATTGTACTATCTGTCTTTCAATTACTTTTATTTATAATTTATAAGTTAATCTCCTACTCACAACGTCTCTGTTCAAGATTGTCAATCATACCTTTTACAAATTTAAAACTAAAGATTTCGTAAGATTTTTCTTTATAAATTTACTGATTTCACTAACATGCATATTTAAAGCCTAGTTATAATATGTTTTTTTTTTTGGTCAACAGTTATACTATGTTATTCTGAGAAATTTCTCCATAAAATATAAATGAGGTTGTTTCAATGAATATTTTACACAATAATATTTGCATAAATTAAGAAAATGCGTAAACCTAGTCAGAGACTCAGAAATAAATCATGATAATTGTATGTTTTTGAAATAATAAAAGTAAAAGCAATTGTTATTCTTTTCCTTTCCGAGGAGGAAAAAGAAAGAAAAAAAAAAGAACAAATCTTTTGGACTTCCAACACTCAATCTTTCGTCTCCCTCCTTACAATAATTTCTTCATCTTCTTCTACCCAAAATACCTTTTCTTGTTTCCAAATATATCTCTCTCTAAAGTGCTCAGAGAAATGTTTGCTTACAACTGCATGTAAGAACACCTTCAAATTGCAGTGAAAGGGTTTAAAATATGCAGCAATTGTGGGAAGTAAAGGAAACCAAGAAGAACGAGAGAAACATTAAAGGAAGAGATCTTGTAGATGTTGTCTTTTTATGGTCTGTTCCTGATGTCCTAAACTCTAATCTTTACAAAGAAAAGGTTCTGTTTTCTTTTGATTCACATCTTATCTTAGAAACTTAAGATATGTGACTCTTGTTCTTGCTACCTCTTCACTTACTTGCTTTGTGGATTTTGTGTGTTTTGGTTTAATAGGTGAATAAGATCCCTAAAACATTCTCATCAACAAAAGAGTATCTAAACTCATTTGTTAATCCGCTTATAGAAGAGACACATGCTGCTTTGTTGTCAAGTATGGAGACTCTGAGACGAGCACCAGCTTTCAAGTTCTGGGACATCAAGCCATCTAAAGATTTTAAACCTCCCAAGAATCTTTATTATGAGGTTACTTTGCAGACAATGTCTGATAGTATAACCAATGGAGATCGAAAACTGTTGGAGTTTAATGATCTCATTGCAGTGACTGATAAGAAACCTACTCGAATTGATGACTTGAGATGTTCCAATGAGCCTTACTTGCTTGCTCTTGTTGTTGGAGTGAACGAAGATAATCCACATTTGGTAACTATCTTGGCCTCAAAACCCATTGTGTTCGAGGAAGATATCATTGAAACGACAAAGAAAGGAAAGGGTGTGAAGAAAAGTCAAAGCCAAAGCCTCTTTGGTGTTTATTTGATCAACATGATGACAAATATTCGTATTTGGACTGCGTTGCATCCAGATCCAGAAGGAGGGAACTTAAAGCTTATATCAAGAGTTCTTCAAAGCAACAATGAGGTAATTAAGATGAATTCAACTTAAGGAACTCTTGGAACAGAATCAAAACGATATCTTTAAATCTGTTTCTTGTTTAGGTTGGTGGTGAAAGTTGTGCTTCTTGCCAAGAAAACAGTGAGAGTGTTGTGTCACAACACGTAGAGAAAATGCTACGTTCATTCAAACTGAATTCATCTCAAGAGGGTGCGATTTTAAGCTGTCTAGAAGCCAAAAGCTGCAACAATTGCAACAATATCAAACTTATATGGGGACCTCCGGGCACGGGGAAGACGAAAACAACGAGTGTTCTGCTTTTGAATATTTTGAAAGTGAGATGTAGGACACTGACTTGCGCTCCAACTAACATAGCTGTTCTTGAACTTGCTTCAAGGGTTGTGAATTTAGTCTCCGAGTCATTGAGGTTTGGTGGGTATGGTCTTGGAGATATTGTGTTGTTTGGCAATCAAGAAAGGATGAAGATTCAAGAACGGGAGGATCTTTTTGATGTTTTTCTTGATTACAGAGTTGATAAGCTCTATAATTGCTTTCAGGCTGTTACTGGATGGAGAGCAAATGTAAACCATATGATCTCTTTCCTCAGTGATCCGAAACAAGTGTATCACCAGTCCTTGATCAAGAACAGTCTCTCGTTTAAGCAGTTTGTAGAAGAGAGGTTTAGAAAACTCAGGATGGACCTGCATTATCAGTTCTCAACTCTGTTTCTGCATTTACCGACAGCTTTGCTTTCCTTTGGAGTAGCGGAGAAGATAAATCGGACTAATGATCTCCTTAGAGTTATGACGTTTTCAGATGTGGTGTCAAATCATAAGTCCTTACATGGAAGATTGAAATATATCGTTCGAGATTCTGGGAAAGAAAATGGAAGATTGGAGAATGATTCAAGAAAGCAAGAATGTCTAAAGATGTTAATATCGATTTGTAGGAGTATCGATCTTCCGGATTTTATAGGGAAGTTTGCACTTAAAAAACTGTGCTTAGCAAACGCATATCTGATTTTCTGTACAGCATCGAGCTCTGCGAAGTTACATACGAGTAGTCCAATACAACTTCTTGTGATCGATGAAGCTGCTCAGTTAAAAGAATGCGAGTCAGCGATTCCTTTGCAGCTTTCAGGACTTCAACACGCGGTTTTGATCGGCGATGAGAAGCAGTTACCTGCAATGATCCAAAGCAAGATTGCTTCAGAGGCTGATCTTGGGAGGAGTTTGTTTGAAAGATTAGTGTTGTTAGGGCACAAGAAACAGTTGTTGAACATGCAATACCGTATGCATCCTTCGATTAGTATTTTTCCAAACAGAGAGTTTTACGGTATGAAGATTTTGGATGCTCCTTCTGTTAGACTGAGAAGTTATGAGAGAAAGTTTCTTCCTGAGAAAATGTATGGACCTTACTCTTTCATCAACATACCTTATGGAAGAGAACAGTTTGGACAAGGATACAGTTCAAAAAACGTTGTTGAGGTCTCCGTTGTGGCTGAGATAGTCTCAAAGCTTCACGCAGGTAAACTAATCTTAATTAATATCAGTCGTAAAAATTTGGTTCTTGATGTTGATTCTTGATTCATATCTGCAGTATCAAGAAAGGCGCAAAAACCGATCAGCATTGGTGTGATTTCACCTTACAAGGCTCAAGTGTTTGCAATCCAAGAAAAGTTAGGTGAAAAGTATAATACCAATGAGCAAATCACAGTGAGTGTTAGGTCTGTAGATGGGTTTCAAGGAGGTGAAGAAGATATTATAATAATCTCAACTGTTAGGTCTAATGGTAGAGGAGCAATTGGTTTTTTATCTAACCAACAAAGAACCAATGTCGCACTCACGCGTGCGAGGTATCTAATCGCTTTTCTCATTTTCTTAATAATTGATATATGCTATTATTGTCAAACTGTTTTTTTGTTTTGTTCTTGATTCTGTTACCTTTGTTTGTAGATACTGCTTATGGATTCTTGGAAACGAAGCGACTTTAACGAACAATAAATCAGTATGGAGACAGTTAGTTGATGATGCAAAAGCACGAGACTGTTTCCATGATGCAGAAGAAGACGAATCATTAGCTAAGTGTATTGAAAGATCAACAACAGCACTTGATGATCTTGATAAGCTTCAGAACAAGAAGCTTATTTCATTTGAAAATTCGATATGGAAGGTATGATTTATACTCCTTTCGTTCATTTTTACTAGGATGTTTTAAAAGGTTTTTAGTTTCATTTTATTTGATATCTTAAAAAAAATTTTAGCAAAATTTGAATTTTTTAATTCTGCCGTCTCTTTTATTGTTGGTCAAATTGTTTTTAATTAGGCATAAAATGATGTTTTTCAAAATATTATTTATACTTCTTTCGTCCTTTCCTACTAGGATGTTTTAAGTCTTTTTTTTTTATTTCATTTTAATTGATAATATTCAAGTTTTTTATGCAAAATCTAAATCATGCAATCTCTTGTTTTGGTCAAATTGTTTTTAATTAGGTATAATATGATGCTTTTATTTTTTAATGTAGAGAAAAATTATAATTTCTATATTTTAGTTTTTTCCGTATTTTTAGTCAAAGTATCTTTTAAAGGAAGCAGAGTTCTTGATCTTTGAAAAGAGAATCAAGATAAATTTGTATTTATATAATTTCTTGCTTCTATGATCTTTTCTCCTCCAGGTTTGGCTTAGCGATGAGTTCTTGAAATCTCTGGAAAGGATCATAGACTCTGAAATGAACAAAAGAATTATGAGCTATTTGGAGGTGTTATCAAATGGGGAGCTTCACCAAGAGTCGGAGACTGAGAGTGATAATCTGTTTAGACAACATGAGATACATAATGGCCTAAGCCTCATATGGGCAATAGACATTATCAAGAAAGAGAATCACCATGTCCAAATTTTGAAGATCTGGCACGTTTTGCAATCTTCTGAGGTTTCTCGTGCTGAAAAATGTCTAGAGAAACATTACAAGAGATACACGAAAGTCAAGATCGAACGGTGCAGATACATATCTTCTCAAGGGTAAGTGTAGTGGAATTTTTATGTGTGGCTTTGATTAGGCAGAAACGTAACATTTTTCGTTGCTTTTGTATTGATGCAGAAATTTGGTTGTACCGATGAGATGGCCGGTTAAGTCTTGCTCCAAGAATGACATTATAACCGACGTATCAAGATCGTTTGCTTTGTTGAATGTTGTGGAAGAATTTGAGTCTCCCAGACCAATAAAGTAAAGCTTCTTTTGATGAAAAATTCGGATATTTTGTATAAGAGCAGTTCAAATCATATTCTCTGTTTGTTTTGCAGGAAAAAGTCGAAGCTGAACAAGGTGTGGAAGATTAGAAGAAAGGTTCAACTTCAGAGATCTTAAATGGATTTCGACTGTTTCTTCTTAAAAGTATTTGCGGAGTTTGAAGCAGAATTTTTATTTTCCCTTTTCTTTCTTTTAAAACAAACTTTGTCTGCTTCTTTTGTGTCTTGTTGAATTAAGCAAATCTAAAACTTCTCTATGATCCTTATCAGTTTGTGTAGAGAAAAATGGGTCATATAAATGAAAGTTTTCTTATCTTACGTAGTACAAATAGTTGAATGAAGTTAAGTAGAGTATTATCACATAGGGGATTCAAACGCAGAATTTGTTAATTTTGTAAAGTTGTTTGATTTTAAAACTCGAGGGATTTGTTAATTTTGTAAAAAGTTTTGTTAGATTTGGAGAGAGATTGTATATTTAGGTGGATGATGGATTCAGACATTTTTTTATTAAAATATATTGTTATGGGTATGGTGATTTTTAAAATTTAAGTAAAATCTATTGTTATTCAAAAAGTTTGAGTTTTAAGAATTTTATGATGGGGTTCTGGCAAATATAACTAACAAATTAGAGTCAATTGCAAATATAACCTCTCTTTTCACCACTTTAACATTAACTACTTTCTCTCAATTCCATCCTTATTAGTTTCATATATTCACGAAAATGCCATCCGATTATTGTTATTTGTTTTATTTTTGGAAATCCAATTGATCAAACAATCCTGATCATCTTCTTTGGAGAAGTCTACTTTTGCGAGTACACTTCTTACCAAAAAGTCAAAGTTTGATTAGTTGCAAAACTAACCTTTTTTAAGTAGATTTCTCAAGTGAAGAAGTCTACTCATCTATTGGCAATTGCAAAGTAACCTAAAATTAAGACTTCATTGTTCGTCTACTTTTTGTAGACGTCCAACACAATCTACTATTTCATCTTTTCAAACGTATTTTTTATCAAATTTACAATGAATTTTTAAGATTTTCTTGGTCTTGCAATTGTTTTATTGAGTGTACTTACATTTGTATAAGTTTTACATGTTTATATTATATATATTTGGTGAAATTAAGTTTCTTATTTTATTTGATATTTAGCTTATTAGTCCGCTGACTTCAAGTGAAGTCTACATAGTGGACTTCATTTGCAGTCTGCGACTTTAATTTTTTTTAATAAAACTAATTGATCAGAAATTTGTAACAAATAAAATTTATTCTTTGACTCGTAAGTGTGTGTTATCTATTGTTCTTGGTTATGTATGAGTTTGACATATTTGTTTGTTATAGTTTAGCTTTAATTTATTTTCTTATTTTATTTGGTATTTAACTTATTAGTCTGCAGACTTCACTTGAAGTCTACATAGTAGACTTTGTTTGCAGTTTGCGACTTTAATATCTTTATAAAATTAATTAACCAGAAATTTGTAACAAATAAAATTTATTCTTTGACTCTTAAATGTGTGTTATTTATTGTTCATACTTATGTATGAGTTTGACATGTTAGTTTGTTATAGTTTAGTTTTAATTAATTTTCTTGTTTTATTTGGTATTTAGCTTATTAGTCCGTAGACTTCACGTGAAAAACAAAATGTTTACGGACTAATAACAATAGATAACACACACTTTTATAAATATATTGTTATGGGTATGGGTATGGTGATTTTTAAAATTTATGTAAAATCTATTGTTATTCAAAAAGTTGGGGTTATGGGAAATATAACCAACAAATTAGAGTCAATTGCAAATATAACTGATGTTACTACATATTGCATGCATTCTGCATACATATCAGTTAGCTTTTCATGCATTTACATCACACTTTAGACTAGATTGCATCACTTAGGGTCCTAGAGCATTCTCGCACCAGCATACGCATGTTCCTTGCATTTTGCATCACATTCAGGTTGTTTATGGCTACTTTGGAGTCGTGGAGGTTCGTGGACGTGCTGAAGCTGTTGTGGCAGTTCGTGGAAGGTCGGATGTTTGCTAAGGACCAGAGATCGGGGAGCAGATCGAGCATGGCAGGTCGATCTAGATGAGATCGACCAGAAGATCGAGAGGCCCAGACGATCCAAGGGAAATGATCGAGACGAAGATCGAGTGGAGCAATCGATCAAATGGTACGGACGTAAATGACGCCATGCAGAGCGAGAGCCGGATCGAGTCCACCACTCGATCCGACCGAAGATCGATACCAAGATCGGATGCAACACTCGATCCGCCGAAGATGATCGAGACCCAGATCGAGTAGAAAACACGATGTCCAAAAGTGATCGAGAGAACCGCTCGATCCCGAAGTCGATCTCTGTCCTTTCAACCGCTTTTGGCCGCTAGCGAGTGGGGGGACCATCGAGCTGTTTTCGCCATTTTGGGAAGGCGGCGATGTCTTTTTCTACACACACTTTTTCAATCTTACTTTTTTATGCTTTTTCTCTCTGGTCTGTAGATTATCCGCCATTGTTGAACTTGAAGCTTTTCTTGCTTTTGTATTCGAATCGTTTTGAAGTTTAATCTAGTTCTTTTTCATGTTCATCGCTTCGTCTTTCATCTTTATTTCGGTTATTCTCATGTGTAGTGAGTAGTTCATTTGGGTCTCGGGGTTGAGAGGATTCACGGGGTCTAAGGGGTTTTCAAGTTGGTAGTTTTCTTGTTCTTAATAGCTTTCTCTTCTAGGATGTTGAGTCCCTAAGGCTTAAAGACTCTCACGCCAAGATCTTTATGATCAGAGAGGTCTCTTACCTTGACAGGATCCAGAGATCTCTGAAAATCACATCCTAGAGACTAGTTACCCTTTCCCAAAAGCCATGGAAGTTTAGGGGACTAGTTAGGTCGTGTGTTTGAAATCTGAGTTCATTGCCCTTTAACCTCTCTTTCCACCAGAAGCCATGGGTTTGGAGGAGAGGATGAAGGAGTGATCCATACCGAAAGCCACGGATGGATCTTGTTTTCGTTTTCAAGGCTTAGGGAATCTCACAAAGTGAGTCGATTTAAAGTTTTTAACCCCAACTTGGACCCTTGAAACCCCGTACCATGAATCTCAACCCTAGACCCTTCTTTCTTAGCATTCTTACATCGTCGTTAGTCATTTGCTTGATAGTCGCTGCATCCTGGTCATTAGTTTCTTCATACTTGCATTTTTAGACGAGATCGATCCAAACTGCTCGATCTAGTGGTCGATCCACTAGTCGATTTTTGTTAAATCATAGCCTTGCATTTTAATTATTCCGTTTGTTCCCCGTAGTAATTTAATCATTCCTGGTATTTTTAAAATAGTTTTGCATTTCATTTGGTTGCTGCATATAGTTTTTAGGATTTTTACAAAACCGCTTGTTATTCGCTTAGCTTTACACTGCTCTTGCATTCTCTTTGACCTTCCTAGCTCCTAGAAATGGATTGACTCTCACTTGCATACTGTACTACAACCTAAGTGTTGCATTTGAGTTTGATAGCCTCATTGCATCCTCACCCTTGCAAAGAAAGTAGTTATCAAATGGCGCCGTTGCCATCCTAGGATTGTTTAGAAAGCATAGAGATTTGGGACTTAGTAAAGACTAAGCCTTTCCTTGTTTTAGTTACTAATTTTTCTACTCTACAACGTGTGTCTCTCAGGTACATGAATCTTCGTTCAAGGGGAGATAACAATCTACTTCAACCCTTGGACAACATTCATCAGCTTGGTCATTCACGGCAAAGAAGAGTACGAGAACAAGCCAGAGCCTTTGAGGAGATTGTTCAGCACGGTTTGGTTGACTTTGAAGCTATGGCTGAGCACGAGCATCCAGAGGGACCTCCTCCAGCTCTTGGGACAGTGGGAAGGGGCAATGGAAACCCCCAACACGCGGCTAGACCCCCAAGGATCATAGGAGCCGGAGATGCTCCCAATACTCATCACAATAGGTTTGGGATCACTCCTCCTCCTGTACAAAACAACAACTTCGAGATTAAGCCGGGTTTCATCTCCATGGTGCAAAACAACAAGTTCCACGGCTTAGCAATGGAAGATCCCTTGGAGCACCTTAACAATTTCGAGCAAGTATATGGGATGATCAAGATAAACGACATATCAGAAGATGCTTTCAAGCTGCGTCTCTTTTCCTTTTCACTCGGAGACAAAGCTAGGCATTGGGAGAAGACCCTTCCACAAGGCACCATCACCTCATGGGCCGAGTGTAAAAAGGCATTTCTCTCAAAATTCTTCTCTAGCACCAGAACAGCACGGTTGAGAAGCGAAATCAGCGGCTTCACTCAGCGGAACAATGAGACATTCAATGAGGCAATGGAATGTTTTAAAGATTACACGATCCAATGTCCTCATCATGGTTTCAGCGAGGAGACCCTACTCAGCACCATCTACCGCGGCGCCTCACCAAAGATCAGGTTGTTGCTTGACACAGCTAGTAAAGGGAACTTCCTTGGTCAGGAGGTAGAAGAGGGCATGGAACTAATAGAGAACTTGGCATTGAGTGATGGCAACTATGCTGAGGATTATGACCGTGCACCGAGAAGATCTGAGCTAGAGTCTCACAAAAAGGAGCTGAAATCCTTGCATGAGAAGATTGACAAGCTGGTGTTAGCCAACCAGAAGCATGTTCACTTTGTTGGTGAAGCGGATGAGAATCAAGAGGAGCTTGAGTTGAGCCAGAAAGAAGCCAATTGGGTGGCGGGACAGAATAATTACAAACCTCACGGCTACAACCAAGGCTACAACCAGAACAACAATCTCTCCTACCGTAGTACCAACGTCGCCAACCCTAAGGACCAAGTGTACCCTGCTCAGCAAGCAAAGCCTTTCATACCTTACAACAAAGGTTTTCAGCCGAGTGGTGGCTTCCAAGGTCAAGGGCAGAACAACTTCCAAGGGCAACATCAAGGTAACAAGGGTTATACGCCAAACTACCCTCTGGGCTTTGCACCTCAGCAGCAACAGCTGATGCAACAACAAGTTGATCCGGTTCAGGCCATGTTTCAACAGCTGATACAAGGACAAGCCTCTACAAACCAGAAGTTTGCCGAGATGAACACTCGTTTGGACTCGTCTCTCACTGACTTCTCCACTCAGATCACCAACTTAAACAACAAGATCAAGCAGCTAGAGAAGGGGAAAGCGAGTACAAGTGGTCAGAATAGTCTACCGGGCAAGTGTGAGCAGAATCCTAAGGAATATGCCAATGCCATCACGTTAAGAAGCGGCAAAGAGCTAGCACCTCCGGTTACTCCTAAGAACAACGAGGACGTTGTAATTCAAGAGGGGGAGGGTAAGCTTTCCGCTGATGATGAGATCAACTTTGACAATGTCTGGATTCAAGGGCCAAGAAGAGGAGACAAAGCAGTTGCTGAGAAGAAAGTGGAACAAACTACTAAGGAGAAGGATGCT